CCTTCATTATTTTATATATATGTCACTTTACTTGATTTATATATGTGTACATAAATCTTCTTTTAAGTTAAGTAAGAAACTACTAATATTTATGGCTAAAACACAATGATTAGCTTCTTCCTGAAAGTATCAAAGTAAATTTCAAGACCCATGATCAAATCTCTCTTTTTTGTTGTTTTCTCCCTTACTTTTTCCTTCTCTTAGCCATGTTCTGTAGTTTCTGTGTACGTTTTTCACATATCTTTTGTGATATTTACCATTAAATATTTGATATTGCTTGATGCTGTTTTGAATGGTATTTTAAAAAGTTCAAATTTCTGATTGTTGCTAGTGTCTGTACCCTTTTATATATTATCTTGTATCTTGCACCCTTGATTAAAAAAATCACATATTACCAGGCTTGGTGGCTCAGCCTGTAATCCTGTGCCTTGGGAGGCTGAGGTGAGTGGAGTGCCTGAGCCCATGGGTTCGAGACCCGCCTGGGCAACTTGGTGAGACCTCATCTCTACAGTAAATCAAAAAATTAGCTGGGTGTGATAGCGCGCACCTGTAGTTCCAGCTACATGGAAGGCTGAGGTGAAAGGATCGCCGGAGCCCAGCAGGTCGAGACTACGTTGGCCGGGAGTGGCCACTGCACTCCAGTCTGGGCAACTCAAAAAAAAAAAAAAAATCACATATTAATTCTACTAGGTTTTTAGAGAGCTCTTCTTGGACTTTTTACATAGATGATCAACTTCTGTGAATAGAGTGCTTTATTTCTTTCTTTCCAATGTGAGTGGCTTTATTTATTTTTCTTGCTTTATTGCATTGCTTAGAACTTAGCATACAGTGTTGAATCAAAGTGATGAGAGTAGACATCCTTGACTTGTTCCTGGTTTGGGTGAAAAAAACGTTCAGATTTTCACGATTAAGTATGTTGTTACCTGTATTTTTTTTTAGTAGATGTCCTTTATCAGGTTGAGGAAGTTTTATTCTGTTTTTAGCATTTGAGATTTTTATTATGAATGGATGCTAAATTTATCATATGTTGTTTCTGAGTCTATTGAGATGATCATATGATTTTTAAAAGATGTGTATTAGTTATCTATTGCTGCATAACAAATTATTCCATAACTTAACATTTTAAAACAACAAACATTTTTACATATCACAGTTTCTGTGTGTTCCTAATCCAGGTGATACTTAACTGGGTGTGTCTGGCTCAGGGTCTCTCATGGGGTTTCAGTCAAGCAGTAGGTTGGGACTGTGCTTATAACTTGAAGGCTTAACTCACATGGTTGTTTGTAGGGTTTAGTCTTTCTGCCTGTGTGCCTCTGCACAGGACTGCCTCATGACATGGCAACTGGCTTTCCCTAGGATTAGTGATCTAGGAGTGAGGAAATGCAAAGAAGAGAGCACCAATATAGAAGAATCATTCTTCTTACAATATTTTCTCAGAAGTGGTATACTATGATTTTTGACATATTCTATTTATTGAATACAAGTCAACAACAGATGCAGCCCACACTCAAGAGCTGGGAATTTAATAAGAGGGTGAATACCTAGAAGTGGGTGTCATTGGGAGTCATCTTAGAGACTGTCTACCATTGCATATTAAAATGGTATATTACACATTTTAAAATGTTAAGCCTACCTTACATTCTTGGAATTAATACAGTTTCATCGTGATTTCTTTTATCTTTTAGATATAATATTGGATTCAATTTGTTAAAGATGTAACAATCTTTTTTTTTTTTTTTTTGCCTCTGTGTTCAGAAAGAGATTGATTTGTATTTTCTGTGTAATATTGTGTGGTTTTGGTGTTGGATTTATTCTTGGCTCATATAATAACTTGGAAAGTGTTTCCTCTTCATCAGTATTTTGGAGATGTTTCTGTAGAGTTGGTGTGGTTTCTTCCTTTAATGTTTGGTCTACATCATCAGTAATACCATCTGGCCCTGGCATTATGTTTGTGGTAAGGTGTCCTCCGTCCCCACTTCCTACCAATTCAATCTCTTTAATAGACATGGGCCTATTCAAACTAAGCTTTGGTAATTTTTGTTTTTTAAGGAGTTGTTAATTTCATCTAAGTTGCTGATTTTATTGGCATAATGTTGTTCAGAATATTTGTAGAAAATCTGTAGTGGTCACTTCTCTCACATTCTAGATATTGATATAGGCAGTGTATATTTTCACCCTTTTTTCCTTATCAGTCTGGCTAGAGGTTTGTTATTTTTTAAAAAAATTCTCTCCTGAAAACTAATGTTTGCATTTTACTGGTTTTCTTTATTGTTTTCTGTTTTTTATTTTATCTATTTCCATTCTGATTTTTTTTTAATTTCAGTCTTATGATTATTGTGAGTTTTGTTTGCTCTTTTTTGTTTTTTATATTCATATAGCATTATAAATTTTTCTCACCGTTGTATGAGTATATTGGAGTATCATTTTCCTTTAGCCCAAGGTGCTTTCTGATTGCTTTTTTGAATTGTTTAAATCTCAAGTATTTTCTGTCATCCTTTTACTTTTTCTCTCTGTTTAAAGCAATTTGACTTTGATGTGGTCTTGTGTATTTTTCTTCAAATTTCTTGTGTTTGGGGTTCATTGGGCCCATGTGTTTATAATTTAATTGCTTCAGTGATGTGGGTGGTTTCTTATCTACTGCCTTCACATTTTTAAAGAGAACACATAAACCCTTACAAATTTTGGTGCTCCACCCACGAAGGACTCTTGCCTGGACCACTCTCTAGATCTAACCAGCAGTTACAGGAGCTGTGGGGGCTAGAGGAGCAATTAACCACGGGGAAGCCATTAGCCAAATCTGGAATGTGGGATATGCTGCAGGGCAAATGATCAGCTTCTTCAATAAATTGCTGGCAAGAAAGAGAAAAGAGAGGATATTGTTATGAAATAAAAATATTTAAAGGAATAACATCCTAATGCCATGTTTGAACTCTCATTCAAAAAAAACAAACTGTAAAAGATACCTTTCCCAGTTGGGGAAGTTTGAATATGGACTAGGTATCACATGGTATTGAGGAATTATTGGGTTTTTTTTTGTTGTTGTTGTTGTTAGATGTGATAATGGTGGAGTAGATATTTTTTAATGCTCTGAAATATTGAAATATTTCACGTGAAATAACAATCTGTGGTAAATGAAATGAAGGAATTTCATGTAATCAAAATGAATAAAGATTGACAAAACATTGATAATTATTGGAGCTGGTAATGAGTACATAAATGATATTATGGTTCTGTATGTTTGAAAATTTCCATTAAAAAGAGCTGCATAAAAATAGTTAAAACAAAGGAAAACATCGGTGCTCTAACTTACTTGAAATAAATTTTTACTTTTTGATCATGAGTAGGGGATTCTGCCTTGAGTCTTAAAAATATCTTCAGAAGTTTTGTGGTATGCTAAAAGTATGATAATAGTCTTCTCATTTGAGTCAATTAGAATTCAGCCTGTGGTTAATAATTGAGACATACTCTTAGGACAGAGTTGAGGCTTAATGTTTAACTTAAACTTTTTTGTTTCAGAAACTTAAAAGAGCTTAGTTTAATTGTATATACTTTTCTACTTTAGTGGTTTTAAAAACATTACACAAGTCAGCATGTTCATAATTCACACAAAAAAGAGATAAACAAAACAAAATTTCACCCTGACCTACTCCTTTCCACATGTCTGGAAGTATCTGATGTGAATGGTTTGCTGTGTTTTTGTGTGGTTTTCACTATGCTTATATACGCACATACAAGTATCTATATCTCATATCTGTATTTATATCTATATCTGTCAATATAGATAGGTACATTTATTCTGTGAATGGAATCATCTGATCATATGTTACTGTCAGCTCGCTGTATCAGTGAGTCCTCTACCTACCCCAACTGTGGGTCAAAATATGTAACAAAAACTTTATACTTTTACTTTAACAATGCGGATTTTGCATTACATATCTCCTATTATTCTGATTTTGATAGCATATAGGAATGTGGAAATTTTTTACAAGAAAAGAATTCTAAAAGCAAATGTAATTTAAAGTTTTCTTTAGAGGAAAGAATAAAGTTATCTAACTTCTCAGGTAAGTTCGAAGCCATAAAGTTATTTAATAAGGACAGCAAAATTTTCAGGAAGAAGGGATGGGTTAGAACATAAAGTAGAATAAAAGGGGGCAAACACCTCAGGTTTCCTCCCACTGTGGGAGCTTTTCTGTCCTCTCGGTAAATCCTGCTTCCTAAAAAAACCCAAACAAACAGATAAAAAAGAACAAAAGGGAGACTAAAATAAAATGAATGAATGGGGCAGGCTGCTCAAGAAGGGAAGGAGTGGAGAGAAGGGACGTGGATGTCTCGTGGAGTAATGGAAGCTAAATATTGAAATGAATGTTTTTCTTTTACATATTCCTTTTATCCATTAGTTTTGAAATTAAATAAACATTGTTATCAATTCTTCAACATCTCTAGCCATTAGCCCTATTTCAACTTGGGAATGAAATCAAAGGGACAGATTTTAAATATATATATTTTTTAAATATATAGTTTTTTTTTTTCAGGCATAGCATTTTTAAGCAACTAATGCCTTTGTGTTTTTCCTCTATCCTGTGTTAGCTGCTTGCATGATGACCCATCAGTTGAAGTGCCCATCTGATTCAGCTCAACTTTTAGAAATATTTTAAATTGAAGAAAGTTATCCTACCTCTTCATGATTCAGAAGCAATCCATTTGCAGTCAGATAGTAAAACATATGACAGGTTTCAAGAACTATCTCAGGGTACTGGCAGTGTAGGCCTTTAAGTTTTGCATTTTATGGAATTGTTGTTTAAGCCCTAAGTGAGAATAAGTAGAATAATTATGAGGAACTTTTTGTTCTGTGACTTAAGGCTATGTAGCTTTTAGAATGTGGGCTTTTTGAATATTTCCTGAAATCGAAATTGGTAAGCTTTCTAGAGTAATAAATCAGCATGTTAAGTGATGTTAAAGTTTCATTGCAGAGTTCTGAATTTAATTCCACTTTTTTTCAGATATGTGTCACAAAAATGTCTACACGGAACTGCCAGGGAATGGACTCGGTGATCAAACCCCTGGACACAATTCCTGAGGATAAAAAAGTCAGAGTTCAGAGGACACAGAGTACTTTTGACCCCTTTGAGAAACCAACTAATCAAGTAAAGAGAGTGCATTCAGAGAACAATGCTTGCATTAACTTTAAGACCTCTTCTGCTGGCAAAGAGTCACCTAAAGTCAGGCGACACTCCAGTCCCAGCTCGGTAAGTGCAGTCTTCTTGTGTATCACTGGGTAAACAGAAGGAATATCCCTTTTATGATAGTAGCATGCTGTGCTAGAAGACAATAAGTAGCTTTATCACTACCTTATTATGCATTTTTTTCCAGGGTGGTTAATTGTTGAGAGAGAGAGACAGACAGACACTCAGACACAGAGAATAAGCAAACAGACTGTATTCAAACTCCTTAGTAATAAGCAGCCAGCAAACAAATGAATGAAATAATTGAACTTATTTTTAGAAAAATCATCTGTTTTCTGATTTTTTTCTAGTTAGGGGAATTATTTATGGTTAATAATCCTTTGTATTTCAAACCCTTGGAGAGGTTATTGAACTTTACTGTGTTTGTGGGCAGTAAAGATAATTTTGAAATCTGCAAAATCACAAAGAATTTTATTTCAGAATAAATGTCAAAGTTGATTTACTTGTGTTATTCCAAATTGTTTGGGGGTAGTCTACTAATCTCTCTCCTGTGACTTGTCTAAAACAACACATTGAAGTACTTTTCCAGGACAAAGTCCTGCACTGAATAGAAAATGCTTCAGTAGAATTCTGTGCAGGGCCAGATTCGATAGGGCCAAAGGAAAGAGAGTGTCTGGAAAGAAGTGCTGGAAGGAAACAGCCCTTAGACATAACTAGTGATTTACAAAATAAAAAGGAGCATTTCAAGAGAAAATTTTCTCTGTTATGTTTCTATTTAGGCATCTAAGCACCTTTTCCAACCTTTTAGCTAAAATTAATATACAGTGTTTATAATGTTTTGATAATAAAAATATTTTTCATAGATAAACTTTTTGATTTTATTTATTTATTTTTAGCTGTAACTGCCTCCTCTTCCTTTGTTCACAATTAATATGGTTTTAATCACAAATTGAGATCTGGAACTACTTGAAAACTATCAAACTCCTCTAAAGCAAATCATAATCAGGAAATCTATTAGTTTTTCTCCCTGGAGATTGCTCTTGCAGTTCTCCATTGTCCTAATTTAATCTGGACTGGCTAATCTTTAAACCTATGTTTCCTTTCCCTAGCTTTCTGAGAATTTTCTTTATCTTCTTTTTTTTGGTGGCTAAATACCTGTCCTCTGGGTTACATGTCTTTCTTGTTTCTGGTTTATTTCATTGCTTTGTAGAAGCATATTCTCCAGTAGCTTCCTGAGAAAGGGTGAGAGAAGTTTGTTCATATGACTACGTTTTTATTCATAGTTGATTACTTGATTAATAATCTCACTAAGTATATGATTCTATCTTAAGATTTTTTTTTTCTTCTTAGACTGTTGAACACCTTGTTTGGTTGTTTTCTAGGTTCCTATATTGTTACTGAAATTCATAGACTGTTCTGATTTCCAGTTCATTCTTTATCTGCTTTGTGGAGCCTTCTAGGACTTTTTAAAAAATAATATACCTGGTGTGGTGTGGTCCTTTTTTTTTGTATTTAGTGAGTCTTTTTAATTTTGATGTTAATTTCTTTCAGTTTCAGCAAATGTTTTTTATTTATTTAATTTTTCCTTTTAATCTTTTATCTCTTTTCAAAAACCATTTTTATTAGATAAATGTTGGGACTATTAGATTTATCTTCTAATTTGCTTATCTTTTCCCTGTTAATTTAAGTTTTTTTTCCTTATGACTTTCTGGGTGTTTTTTTGACTTCAGTTTTTAATCTTTCAATTGTAATTTTTAATTATGCTAGCATTGATTTCCACAAGCTTTTTCTTAGGTTTTGGATGTTCTTTAAAAAAACATTCTGTTCTTTTTCAATGAATAATATAAGACTTCATATGTTTCTGAGGATACTAAATGTAGGTTGGGGAAATTTTTTTTCCTTTTATATACTCTAAATTTTTAATTTCTGAGTTTCCTTTGAATTTCTTATATTTGCTTATTTGTTTTGGTCTCTTTGTCTTACCTGTTGAGACTTTTGGTGGATCTGTGTTATGCCTGTTGGCGCTCAGTTGTATTATGAGTAAGGTACTAAAAGTTGATTGAAAGTTCTCTGTGTCTGGGAGTCTTGTTAACTGGTAGGCTTTAGCTTTGTGACAGTTGGTGAAGACCTAGTCACAGGAGTGTTCTCAGATTTCACTAGCTCTTGATCTTTTTTTCTTGGTTGGGTGGCTCTCCCAAAATGGATTTGCTGATCTGTTTTTTAGGGCATATTACCTGGCTGCCGTTATTTTTAGATGATTAAGAAGGTACAGACTTTCTCATGGTTTGTTTTCATTCTGTATGACTTCACCTTGATGTCCAATGTGCTTGGTGCCTCTTCCAAGAATTACCTCTCCTGGGAATGGTGGTGGTAGATACCTGGCTGGCAGAGGCTAGGGGAAGGGACCCTAAGCCCACCCCAATTAGTCATTTTGTTTTTAGCCTTACTTTGTACCTTAGCCTTCAATTCTTGTTGGTTTTGGGATTCTGAATTGTGAATTGACTTATTTCTTATTGACTTTATGTTTCATCATTTAGGTGTCAAGGGTTTGTTTTTTTTTTAACTTGTCCTAATTATTGACCTCTCAGCCACTTGTCTCCTGTCTTCAAATTATTGTTTGTATCTTGTCTGCAGTCTTCGTTTTACTAAATTTGTTTGCCCTTATGGGCTGTAACTTTACTATCATTTTAGTATGGATTGTGGGGTGGGGAGAAGTACATACGTGTAGTCAAGCCATGAAATTCAACTGGAAATAGCCTCTGTTTTTCTATCTTGTTTGTTTTTTTTTAACTTTTTTTACATTCTTTCCTGAGTTTCATATTGGACTTAACCTTTTCTGGTTCACCCTGGAATGACTTTTTTGTATGTTAGGGCACTTACTTTGTATGGAAATTGCTTTGCTTTCTTTTTACTTTAGGAGTTTTTGCTTCCTTTCAGTGTACCTTGGACAAATGTCTTTGCTCTTTACTTATGAAACTAGAAATACTTTTTCTCTTTTAGCAGGATGCTACAATATTCTGTTTTTTTTTCTTTTTGAGTCCTTTCTGTTTGCTGCCTTTTGTTTTCTTCCTGTTGTGTGATAGGAAGCAGTACTGTGTGTGTGTGTGTGTGTGTGTGTGTGTGTGTGTGTGTAAATTTCCATTGGATTATCAGTGGGGGAGAAAATGGAAGCAGTAACACTTCTTATGTAACACCATTTTACATCTTTTACATCTCCTCCAGCAGTGTAGAGGTTTGGTGATTTCACACTCCTGGAAAACATGGGAAACCATGGAAGCTTTATAGGCATAGATTTTGTTATTCTTAGTGCTGTTTAGAAGTTGTAGCAGTGTCTGATAAATATCAAAGGAAGAATTTTCTTACCTAAGGGTTACCAGGATTAATGTCAGACCATGTCTTGGTTTCTCTGAGGTCCAAGCACAGGATTCCTGCCTTAGTCCATCAGACGTCCCGACCCTCTTATCCTTTCTTGGTTTCTCTTATGTCAAAACCCTCAGATCTTGTCTTGGTCTCTCAGAAGTGCCAACCCTCGGATACTGTCTTGGTGTCTCTGAAGTCCCAAACACCGATCCAGCCTTGGTCTATCTGAAGTCCCAAACCTCGTATCCTAGCTTGGTGTCTTTAATGTCCCAATCCTCGGATCCTGCCTTGGTCTACCTTAATTCCCAACTCTAGAGCCCAACCTTGGTCTCCTTGAAGTCCCAGTTCTCAGGTACAACCTTGGCTTTTCAGACATCCCAACCCTCGAGTCCTGCCTTGATCTCCTTGAAATACCTACCTTTGGATCCTGTCTTGGTCTATGTGAAATCTCAACCTTCAAGTTATTTCTTTTAAAATGCTAGTTATCACGAATGGCGCCACAGTAGAGTTGGGAAGGGAGGAGGAAGTGATAAAAGTGTGGCCCTGCAGCTGCTGTTTTAATGAGGAAAGCACTGTCTTGTGGAAGTATGGTAGAAACTAGTTTAAAAATACTATTTCTTCTCAACTACACATACTGGCCATTACATGTGCTAGGAGCCATGAGTGAAATCAAGAAATAAGAATGCCTTTACCTCAATGGCCATCATACTAGTGTGTACCTGCCGATTTTTCCATATAGTAGCACTTTACAATTCAGGCAGAATATAAAGAATTTGATTTTATTTAAATTGTTGTGTTTTAGGAGGGCATTTGACAGACTGTGTTTGTTTATTTCAGTTGTATTTCGAATGCCTACTTTCCCTAGGACTAGTTCCTGAGTAGTGTTTACAATTGTCACCGACATGACAAACCTTTCCTCCACTTTTTCTTCCACCTTCCCCAGCCAGCTGTACTCTTCAATAGCTACAGCTCCTGGGAGTACTATAAGAGACTGCCTGTCATGCTGGCCCAATTTAGAAGAGAGTTCATTGAGTTATGCTGTGATAAAATGATCTTAAAGACAACATACTTTCAGAAATTCATATTCTGGTTAAGGTCCTCTATACATTCCACATTTCCTCCAAATTTGCTTCTTTTTGCCACCATAAAAATGGACATCCCATTATAGATGGCCTATTCTGGAGAGTGGAAAGAGGGTGCAAACTTGCAAATAAGAGTTCCACATCAGTTCTTAGATACTCATTCTTGGGATGGGGGACGCTCATCTGGGCATTGCTTCCTTTTTTTGGGGAGTGAAAAATTCCCAGCTAGAACCAAGCATCCTTGTCTGGTTGTTACCATGTGTGGTGTTTGGGTTCATCCCTCTGTCTAGCATCTATATCTGTTTGGTAACCAAGTTACCTGTCAACTGTGGATTATGTTAGTGTGGCTGTTGATGCTGGAGATTATTGGCAAAAGAAAAATTAGCCCAGGAAGTTTTGACTTCAAATCCCTGCTTAAGGGGATCACGTAGTTCTGATTGAATCTTTTCTCCCTCATTCTCACACCCACTATCACAATTACATATAGTGTAGTACAGCAGTGATTCTTAATTGTGGTTTTCTTGCAATTCAGGGAGTCTTCAACAATCTTAAGCAAGGGGCTATATGTGAGGGTTAAAATCAATTTTCAATGAAGCCAGTATGAAACTATGGACTTTCGTA